TATATATATATAACGTTGATAGTAACGTATTACATCAAGAATAATATAGGTTTAAATCGGTGTATTATCATATTCTGCATTGTATATTCATGTACTCCTGATGATATTACAATAATTGTAGCGAGTGAAACTAATGTTGGTTATAATTTATTCGTCACGCACGCGCCCACGCGCGCGCACATACACACACACGTGCACGCACGTGTACACGCACGCACGCACGTGCACACACACGTACGCATACACGGGTACACACACATGCATCCGCACACACGTACGCACACACACGCGCGCACACGCACGTACGCGCACACACGCGCGCACGTGCACACACACGTACGCGCGCACGCAGGGGCACACACACACACGCATCCGCACGCGCACAAGCCCATGCACGCGCACACGCACGCACACACCCATCCTCACGCGCACACGCGCGCACGCACGCACACACCCATCCTCACGCACACACGCACACACCCATCCTCACGCACACACGCGCGCATGCACACATGCACATATATACTTACGTTATCGAGTGCACGCCGATCTCGTGGCCACGCAGGTAATATTCCTCGATGATGATGTAATCCGTCGCGGTGTGCGACACGAAGAATGTCGCGCCGACCGGACATCCGGTCGGGTTGACCCGGGTCAGGTCGAACAGTCGCAGCCGACGCAGGTCGGCGTGACCGTGGTGGTTGAAGTGGTCGTCAAACGTTAGCACGACCATCTGCGGCGTCTGCTCCCGCCGCAGCCCACCCGGTGATGACGTCACGCCGTCACAGCGACAGTCCGGCAGACGACACGCGTCAGGGTCGCACGGTGGCGCCAACTCCGCCAGGGCCGTGCCGAGCAGGAGAAGGAGGAGGAGGTGGTGGAGGAGGAAGGGGAGTAGGGCCGACGGGGATAGCATGATCGTTGCAGTTACCCTCGGGTATTTGATGACGTTCTCTTCGCAGTTTCAACGGCGTTGTCTTCGCGGTTTCAGTGACGTCACCTTTGCAGTCAGTTGCGCTGTGGTCACCTGCTCCTCTCAAGCGCGTCTCTGAAAGTTTCCTGCGTTGCCCGGCCGAGCTGCGGTGGTGAGAACCGATACGTACGAACCTTATAGTTGATCGCGCCCCATGGGTCACGTGGATCGCACGTGAGCAGCCAGTACGCTATTATGCGGTCGGTCGGGTGGGTTAGCGCAATGCGCATGCGCGGCAGCAGGGGAGGATTTAACGGGCAACAGTAATGATGATGGAAAACGTACAGCGGAATGCTGCTTCCGGACGGCGCTAGCGCGAGAGATGGATGGGAAGCAACAGAAAGGCAGCAGAGCAACTAGACTCGCTCCCCTTACTTGTGAACGCATGACGTGGGATGTAAACAAAGTACGTGTTTAGGCTGCCGGGAGCGATATCATGTCATTAATCATCATCGCCACCTGGCGGCTGACCTGTAAACAACGTGCCAGCCGACGTGACCACGTGCTGTTTCTAGTGCAGAGTGTTGATGCGGTGTTCTAATAATCTAAGCAACTGCGCTGCGTAGCCTTTCGCTCCCAGTCCACCATCACATGCGTCCGTCCGTCCGGTCGTGGATGCCAATGCAATGATAAATCCATCTCATTTATCCAGTCCATCAATCCATCATCCATCCGTCCTTCCAATCCATGGCAGTCCCATCCACTGCATGCTATGCATGCTGCATCCATCAAGCCATCATACCATCATCCAATCAGCCATGCATTCATCCCTCCATCATCCATCCATCCATCACTCCATCCATCCCATCATCCATACCATCCATCCATCCATCCTTCCTTCCAATCCATGCATCATGCATCCAATCCTTCCGTTACATTACAAGCGACGTATCTCTCTCCTCATCTCGACTTCTGCCGGGGCCTTCTTGTCCGCTACTCTCTGCCTCTTTCTTCCCGTAGTTAATTCAGAGTTTCAGAACGCGCTGCAACGCCACCGCCGCAATCCTCAGCTTATACAATTCTCAGGTAGGAAAAAGCAGACGCTTCATATACTCAGTATCACGGTAATTACATATTTCTTCATTGGGTAGCAATTTCGACCAGTACAGACCTAAAATTCCGTCTATTAACGGCTAATCGTAAGCGCTTAGCCACATACCACTAGCGAATGCCCGTGCAGTATCATCTAGTCTATCTAATATATTAGGTACTATATGCTATATCTAGCTATATACTTATTAATACTAATATATATATATACGATACGCTACACATATAGATGGTAGTCAATTATACGCATGCATAGACTTCTAACCAGCTGTGCGATTGTATACCGTCCTACAAACAAACACCCATGAACGCCGGTTAGCCCTACGCGTCCCGTACCACGACGGTAGCTGTCTGTATAGATTGCTACTGCTAATATAAACCGGCGTTCGGGTTCGTATTCCCGTCTGTGTGTCGCCCATTCACCATCGAGAACAAAGGACGAGGCTTCATCGCAGAATAACTATACCACTGTTATAACAATAGATACATGAGCGAAACGCAACGACACGTCGAAGCGATTTCGGGCGAATTCGCTCGTATGGATAGAGAGCAGATATATCACTGCTCGTCCGGGTACAGATGTGTTTCGCCAGTCTCATGGACAGCAATGAACCATAGCCGTAAATATCACATATAATCAGCATCGAACAAATATCCGATTCAATACGGACTCACGTTCTACACACACTCCTTCGGGGGACACGATAAGTACCTGGCTACATAGTTGGGGGCTTAGCGAATCACTCAGTTCTGACGAGATCATAACGGTACTACTCACCGTGTCATGCCTACACCCGAGCGAATACGAACTAGTTCAACAAACATCGATTTAGGAACTGTGACAATGATTCACAGTTGACCGCTTTCCCCCCGCTCAACATATTGTGCGGTGTGGCCTTAGTGCTTATTCCCAGCTCAACAGGTCTACAGACTATGCTATATGTTTAAGTATTGCGTGCGAGCAGGACCCAGTACACAGAAACATTTCTGTTCTAGGCGGATCCACTTGTATAAGTTATTTGGTCTCTTTTAGTTATTGCATGTTAATTTAAAAGCACATCCTCCTCATCCATTCCACCGCCCCGCTCAAGGTTAGCACAAACAACAGGTATATGGGCGCCGCGGAGCAGATTGACGATTAGAAGCGCTATGGCGAAATGCTAACTAGAGATAGGTTGGTGTTCAGTAGGGAATACACAAAACAATTAACTTTGTATATATCGTAGTGCGTGTATCTTTAGCGTATATTTTATCCCCAAAAAACATTATTTGGTGCATCAGGTAGTTTTAAAAAATAACACAGCAAACACATGTACTATGTTAGAACAGTACGAATTGTTCTGGCGGTTTCGCAGTGCGGCAGGTTTAGGCAACATACCTCGGAGGGATTGATTATCACACGCCTACACGGGGTACATCACGTATGGTACTCACGTATATAATATATATATATCCTCTAAGACTCGCAGCCTCCGAATTGTTGACTTAGACTAAGGTGCAGCGAATACGACCGACGAATTCAGCATTGTCACCGATTCGCATTGAACATGGACAAATGACACTGCAATGGGCGGCTGGTCACAAACAACGAACAGCATGAGCAGCAACATGAACATATGTGTGCCGCTATATGTATCATCAGAGAGTAGATAATAGGGAAATTCCCTATTACTGTGGGCTGGCTGGGATGGATATGCTAGGGGCGGTGACACGGTCAACGGCACACAGGAAGGTACGAGGGGAGTAAAAACCCGAACTTGTCCCTTTAGAGATTAAGAGTGACCGGTTGGGTATACCTAGGTTTATGATGAGGGAAGTGGTTTTACTGATATAACTGCGCTCAACGAAAAAGCGCACACCGTGGACCAGGAGTTCGCTAAGACAGGTGTGTCTTGTGTATATTAGTGTATATAATACTATACATATATATATATATATATAATATAGTAAAACAGTTCTTAGTTTGCATGATATTCAGTTGTTATAGTTAAGAAAAATTAATAATATGACATTTATTTTTATAGAATCTTATATACATATACATATATACATACACATATGCATATATGTATATGTTCAAGGTAACTAATAATACTTGGTAACAATAACAACAACACGCGCGTGTTTGACATGCGAGCGTGTAAGTAAAGACGCGTAACGATGCATAACTAAACGTGAAGACGCGTAAGTAAGTACCGCGACTAAATAACGATGTAACAAGACGAGTTAACACGCTTCCCACGCAGCAGCGAACAAAACGCGAGAATCGGCGTAATCTCCGAGCATGACTTACACACGTAGAGACAAAAACAAACGCACAACCTCGAAACAAAAAAACATTTGCCAGATTTTATGCTCGGCAGCATGATTTTGGCGGGACAGCACCTTTAAGAGTGACGTCACGGCAATTAACACAAAGCACCATCCGATTAAGACTAGCCAATTAAAGGCATTATATATTTTTAATGCTACAAATATTTACGATAATATTTACTATCTATAAGAAAATCACAGAAATGGCACTATTCGTTCCATATTCAACGTCATCACCATGGAAACTGCACGGCAGCTGCACATGTTCGCTTGTTTTTATTCAGACACACTGTAAAGTGTGGTTTGCAGATGTTAGAAATAGTAGTTGGGTGATTAGAAGAGGAGGACGGACGAGAGTGTGCGGGTCACGCGGATGCGTGCCTCTGTGCGCACGCACGAGGGTGCGACTATTGAGAAACAATAATACTATTTGGTAAACACAACTGCTTGGACTTTGGAGTTTCCCTTCTTCATCTCTACGACAAATCCATTTTGAAACGGGTAACACCACCGCTTCATTACATTTTTGGTGCCGTCGACAGTTCAAACCAGGTTTGCAGACATAACGCAGGATGCTACCACTACAAACGATTCACGAGCCACGGAGCCACGGAAGATATACTACGCAAGGAAGATGGAGAAGGAAGAAGACACAGGAGGAATCGCTGGGACGCAAGGAAGATCTGTCTGTGATTGGTCGTATGCATACGCATAATTCAATAAAAACGGGGACGTGGCAGGAATGATGATTCCCCGCCAATTCCCTCATGCCGGCGATCCGATACGGTCGATTAAAATCTAATTAAAATTACCCACAACATCGCCGTTCGTCACAACATTTACATGGAGTTGAATCATGATGATTATTATGCAACGATTCAACTTATGAAATCAACGAACGTAGAACACAGTAATTCGAGTTAATCGGCTACGATTATGTACGTACTATAACATGTGATTAACTGACACTATAGTCTGAGCACGCACACATACAGCTCTTGCTGTTGTTGCTGCTGCTGCTACTACTACTGCTGCTGCTGCTGTTGCTCCAGCTGCTGCTGTTGATACTGTTGCTGCTACTCCTGCTGCTGCTGCTGCTCCTCCTCCTCCAGCTGCTTCCACTGCTACTACTGTAGCTGTTGCTTCTGCTACTGGTGGTGGTGGTAGTGATGATAGATTTATTGCTTCTGCAGCTTGCAGGACATTAGAATGATGAAGAGCCAGCCAGTCTGCGGATTTGCTCGTAAGTTAACCAGAAGGTGAGTGACCAGGGTGCCTGCAACGACCAGGTAAAGGCGAAATCAGCAAGCTATATTGCACTGGCACACACCTACACACGGGCACAAATCAAAGCAGGTTAAAGCTGTGTGTACTCCTGCAATAATGTATAATACATTTTCTCTCTCTCTCTCTCTCTCTCTCTCTCTCTCTCTCGGCATCGCCTCGTGGCAGCAGCTACGCGTTATGTAGCGGTCGGTCGGTGGTTAGCGCAAATGCGGGCATGCGCGGGCAGGCAGGGAGGATTTAACGGGAACATAATGATGATGGAAAACGTACAGCGGAGCTGCTGCTTCCGGACG